GTAAAAAATATATCTCTCTCTCTCTCTCTCTCTCTCTCTCTCTCTCTCTCTCTCTATATATATATATATATATATATATATATTTGAACAAGCAGTGACCACCAATGCGACATAAATAATTTTGAATACCTGGATGCTGATTCATTGCAGGTTATGTTCCTATTATAAATCTTGTTGCTGTTTTAGAATGGATCGCACCCAAAAGGGCAGTTTCTCAGAAACAGCAACAATTTGAAAACGTGCTGTATAAAAGAAGCCAGTCACAAAAGATCATTTTCTTGATAGCATTCCGTTTATATGAAATGTTCAAGAATAGGCAAATCTATAGAAACAGATGTAAATTAGTGGTTGCTTAGGGCTGGGGAAAATAGGGAGAAACTACTAAAAGTATATAGAGTTGGTTTTTTTTTCAAAGTGATAGAAATATTTTTAAATCATTTATGGTGATGATCACACACCTGTAGGAATACACTAAAAAACATTGAATTATATACTTTATATGAGTGAATTGTGTGGTATGTGAATTATATCTCAATAAAGCTGTTATTTAAGAAAAAGATAACTCAGCCAGACGAAAAAGTGGCATTGTGCAATGATGAAGGACATGGACTTCAGTGCTAGAGAGATTTGGATTGAAACCCTGACAGTACCACGAATTAACTGTGTGATCCTAGGCACGCTACCCCTTTCCTCATCTGTAAAGTGGGGAAAAATAATAATATCTGAATAAGAGGATTCATGTGAGGATTAATGGACCATATATTTGAAGCAGTTAGCATAGTGCCTAGATATCAAAAGCACTCAACAAGCAGCTGTTTCCTAATGTTCCCCACCTCCCCGCCCCTTGGAATTTCTTACCCTTTGTGTATTTAGGCTCTGAGAAGTATGGCAGTGATTGATATAAACCTGCCCTACTGGGTCGTAGGTCTTTTGCAGGCTTTGACCTCCTTCAGTTGATCTTAATATAGCTTCCAACATCAATTCTTACCCCCAGTAGGTGCTAAATATGTATCTGTAGAATTGAATTGAATATGCTTAGCTTCTACACTAGATTGGAAGCTTCTTAAGGTAAGTACTGTGCCTTCTGTTCGAACCCTACAGGCTCTATCTCAGTCATGGATACAAATCAGTCGTTAGGAACTGGGCCTTGATTTTATCAATTTCTTTGAATTGGGCAAATGAAATTTCTAATTCCTTAAAACAGATGTTGTTGGTTGCTTCCCCAAACTCATTTCTTGCCTCTGTCTCCAGTCTTCCCGGCTGTCAGTGTTCTGATTTGATTCGGGTTTTCAGGGGTGAGTCTTCTTCAGCATAAACTGATCCTTATATTTCCATTCTCCCTTGCCAGTAATGTAAGGCATAAGTGATGCATTCTGGCTAATGAGATGTGAAGAGAAGTCTGAGGAAGTTTTCTTTCCTCTTAAAAAGAGATAAACTAGGAGAAGCGTGCTCTTTTCTGTCTCTGGTTGTTGCCGTGTGCGGTGGTGATATGTCAGATGGGAATGACAGTGTGGCTCGGAGGGACAAGTTAAGGGAGATATATGAGCAAAATGGAAAGATTGTGAGTTTTTAATGAAGTGTTGGCCACTGAAGGAACCAATGCTAGATTTCTAAACGTTTTACTAAGTGAGATAATAAACCTTATATTGTCTCAGTCATTCTACTTGGCATTTTTGTTGTCACTGAATGTTTCCTGATGTACATTTCCATTTGTGATTCCCACTTCCCTTTTAGGTAAATCCTGGAAGTGGGACCATTGATAGGAAGAGTAAAGGAATTATAAACCAGGGGACTGAGGAAGCCATGAGGAATCAATACACAGTTAACCAGGTATTTTCTTTATTATCTATGATTCATACCTCATCTACTTTAAACAGAGGAGGTTCACGTGTTCCACAGCCTATCACAGCCTTACTTTGGTGATGGAAAAAAGACAACTACTTGATCATAAATACAAGGTGAAAAAAGAACGTATTTCCACAAAAGTAAAAATATATACATATAGTCATCACAAGAGACAGGTGTGCATCTGGCATTTTTTAAGTTTTGGCTGCTCTGGCCAATAATGATGTTAGTCAAGAAGGGGCACTTATGTAGATGCTGTAACCGGGGAGGAGAAGAGTTCTTTGGTGAATAGGAGGGAATTGTCACCAAAATACTGGAGGAGAATGAAAGCAAGCAGGAAGAAAAAGGAAGAGGGAAACTTACTCAGGGCACTTGGTGTAGCATCTGCCTCCGTGGAGGAAGAGAGGGTATTCTGGCTGAGTCCGGCACTTTTTGCAAAAATTAGCTCCCGAGCAAGAGGCACAGTCCTCTGTACAGTTCTCACAGCTGCGACTCCTCACTGAGGGCCATGTGCCTTGTGGACAGGAGGAGACGCAGGACTGAGCCAACAGATATGCACCTAGAAACCCAGGGAAGAAGGCAGATCAGGTGGTCATCATGTGTCTGCTCCAACAGCACATGCAGAGACTGAAGCAACGGTTCTTTTAACTGCTTCAAAGACTTATGTATCTGGAAGACCTGTGTCAGGCTACCAAAATGTATTAGTCCTGCTGCCTCTTGCAGGATAAGTTAAATCTATAAAAAAGGAAATTGACAACAGGAAGCTTTTGCCCTGTTTCCTTTACTTTCCTACTAATGTTGCTCTGGATCACTTTGAAGGCTTCCCTTTGCCCGGTTGATCAATCTATTAACACCTTTGTCCATCTTCCTGGTGTAAGGCAGTTAGTTATATAGGCAAAGCTTGATGGAGTCTATTCTGTTCCCCAAAGCCTATCTTGTTAGGACACTAATACAGTAGCAACTCTTCCACGTAACAGATGGTCCATGTATTTATTTTTAATTAAAAAAATCAGATATCGTTAGTAAAGAAAACAATTTAAAAATCACCCTCAACTCCAAAATTCCAAGAAAATTTCTTCAATTTTTGTTTCTAAATTTTTATATTTGAAAGCATAGAATCATAGCACACTTATTATTTGAAATTCTGTTGTTTTTGCATCCCATCTCACTGTTAACATTGACATTCCAACATAATGATCATTTTAATGAAAGTATAACATTCTTAGTTCTTAATATTAATGCACCATGTAAATAAAATATCACCCTAATTCAGGGAAGTTGTTATTTCTGCTGTTTCGTTTTTATAGACAATGAAGCAATTAATTTGTTAAGCTGTTACATTGTTGCCCTTGTTTTTATTTGTTTTATTTTGTTTTGCTCCCCTGAATTCAGTATCGGAAATGAAGAAATAACAGGTAGACTATCTTCATCTAGATTTCCTACTTTAAGTTTTCTTGTTTTGGCTAATACACTGTAATAGAGCAGGGCAACCTCTAGAAATGTCAAGTATCAAGAAACCCTAACAAATACTGTGGCCAAAATCAATTGCTAACTTTATCATGTTTTTGTATATAAAACGTTTCTTTTCTTTTCTTTTGGTTTTGGTCCCTTGAAAGCCAGTTTTTATTATAGATCAGCATCTGGGTCCCTGTGTTTCTTCAGAGTAGCTACTGTGATAGGGACATGTGATGGAACTAGATCAAGTCCTACAAACCCCTTACGTAAAGATGCTGATATATGTGAGTTACCAGACATCGGGTTGGCCACTGCTACCTCTTGTCACACTCCAAACTAACCTTTTGGACATGAAGTACACAGAGTTGCAGATCCATTGCAGGTTTTACAAG